ACTGAGTTGCTTAGGACCTCACTAAATTGCTGAGGCTGGCTTTGAACTTGTAATCCTCCTGCTTCAGCCTCCAGATCCACTGGTATTATAGGTGTGCACCACCATGCCAGGCTAAAAGAGCATTTTGGTTACTCTTTGGAGAAGGATTGGAGATGCACAAGAGTCAAAGCAGGTAGGCCAGTCAGGAGGCTTCTGCAATAGTCTAGATGCAAAATACTTGAGGCTTTGGAAATAGCAGAAGAAATACAGAGAAGTAGATGAATTCAATATATATGCTGGAAATAGCATCAATAATACTTGTTAAGTGGGAAAGGGAGGGGTTAWCCATAAGAAGAAAGAAGTGAACTTCAAGTAGGCCTGAGGCCTGGGCCTGCAGAAGGATGCTCTTGGGAAAATAACCTTTATTTAGCTCACTCTTTATTGCATCAATTATTTGCACCTGTTAGGCAGGGACATATGCAGTAAATCTCCAAAAACAATCAGGCAGGAGTCAGGAGCCAGAAAGGTACTTAGTAACATCTTCATCTCTACTTCCAAAGGCAAAAGGCAAATGGCTTCTAAAACATGGCAGGAGCCCCATTTTGTACAGATGATCTGTTCATAGCTACACCTTACCATGGGCAACTCAGGGGTATCTGGAAACTCATGCCTCCGTCTGGTAGCACGTTTTGTTAATTCCTGCTTTGGATAACCACTTCATATATTGAATTTTCATATATCTTGCCAAGAAATTTAACATACTATAAACCTTTATTAACAAACTATAGTATTGTCAGGAGCTGCCACATAGGAATAGAGCGCCCCTTAGCTTTGAGCGATGAGAATGTGGAGATGCAGCAAGCCAGCCGTGGGCTGTGTGTGTGAACTATAAGCACCAAGCATACAAAGTGCACTGAACCGATGTTGCCTCTCTGTTTAGGCGGGTGACARATGTTTCTTTTTGCTGGATCTGCCTATGATCCCCACACAGCTCATGAGATGGGCGTGGCCTTCCTAGATGTCAGTCAACCTACTGATAGCAAGACATCAAGAAGCTAGACTCAACCTCCTGAAACCTGATCCCTTGCCTCATTTGAATGGCTTCTCCCCAATAAAAAGGTTCAGCATGTGCTCCCCACTCTCTTTCTTGCCTGTCTTGTCCCCTTGTGAGAGCTGTAGCTGAGGAGTGGTCACTAAACCCAAAGAAAAGGTACTTTCTGTGTCTGTGTGTCTTTATTTAGTGCCCAAATTCACTTGGAGTGACCCTGACCAGTTTACTCATGTGATGCAACACAGAATGTTAAAAAATTTAGCATACCATAACTGCCTATTTGTCTGATGTTCAATTATATCACCATTGGACAACTCTTATTTTTTTAATACTTATTTTTTAGCTGAATTGGACACAATGCCTTTATTTTATTTATTTATTTTTATGTGGTGCTGAGGATTGAACCCAGGGCCATGCACGTGCTAGGCGAGCGCTCTACCACTGAGCCACAACCCCAGCCCCACCGATGGACAATTCTTAAGAGGGGGGAAGAGTTCCCTGATTGTCCTTGATTGTACAGAAAAGTGGGAATAACACATTTAAGAAGAAAAATTCAGAGTTCTATTAGGAACATATTGAGGTGGTTTTTTTTGCTGTTATTTTTTTTGTAGTACTGTGGATTAAACCCAGGATTTCACATATGATAGGCAAATATTCTACCACTGAGGTACATCCCTACCCCTTTTTCAAAWTTTTATTTTGAGATAGCATCTCCCTAAATTTCTCAGGCTGTTCTTGAACTTGTGATCCTCCTGTCTTGGCCTCTGGGAAGCTGGGATTACAAGTGTGCACCACTGTGCCTGGCAGGAGCCTGTTAAGTTTGAGATCACTATTAGACATTTAAGAGCAGATGTCAAGTAGATAGGTGGACATAAAAAATTGACATTCTATTTTTAAGACCAATTAACATATAAATGATATCTAAAGCTATAAAATTAGATAATAAGAACATGAAATATAAGGCATAAATTAGTGCCTGTTGATATATATATTTATACACACACACACACACACACACACACACACACACATATTTATTCTTTTGGGGCCTTCACATATTTAAAAACTTATGCCAGAATTTTTAAATTAGTAGAATTCATATTTTAAAAAATTCGAATTCTAAATTTCTTTTTCAAGATTGGACAATCTGGCGATACTTGGCTTAAACAAAATAGCAGCTTCTTCATTCATGAGATATTAATTAGAATTCACCATAATGTCATCTCAACACTAAAGCTAGCTGTCCTCATATTTGTACACCACTGTTTCCCAGAATCCACTTCTCTATCAAAAGTAGGAAATTGGAAGATAGCCCAAGAAGTCCTCACATGTAAAGAAAGAATGAGCTGGGTGTGGTACAGCATGCCTGTAAGCAACTTAATGAGACTCTTGTCTCAAAATAAAAAGGGACAGAGCTTCAGTGATACAGCATCCCTGGGATCAATCCCCAGTACTGTGGGGGAAAATTTTTTTTAAAAAAAGAGAGAAAGGTCTGGGGATGTAGCTCAGTGGTAAAGTGCCCTAGGTACAATTCTTGGTACCAAAATAAAAAAGGAAAAGAGAAAATGAGAAGGAACATATTTCTTTATGAATTTAAGGATAGCTGAAAATACCATCACTTTACATCATTCATTCACCTTACCCATTTGGACCTTATAAGCATCTGAGTTTTGTAATTCCTGGGGTAGATAAACAATCTGAGTTTCGTCAATATTTAGATGCTAAGTAGAAGGAAGATCAGAAAAGGAAAAAGAGGGGGAAAGGGTATAGCTCACTAGTAGAGCACCTGACTGGCATGCACATGGCCCAGGGTTTGACCCCATGGTGGCACACTGCTGTAATCCCAGCAATTTGGGAGGCTAAGGCAGGAGTATTGCCAAGAAAAATCAGAAAGCAGCAAAGAGCAGACAGGAGAGCACAAGTGTATGAAAGCCAAGCAGAAAAAGTCTTGTAAAGGAGTTGTGCAGATGCACTGGATTAAAAAGAAGTCTTCAATTTGATGAGTGGAACATTATGGAAGGATGTCGAATTAAAGTAGGCTAAAGAATAAATGTATACAACCAGAGATATAAAAAATTGGCTCTATATATGTAATAAGAATTGTAGGGGCTGGGGTTATGGCTCAGCGGTAGAGTGCTCGCTTCGCACATGCAAGGCCCTGGGTTCGATCCTCAGCACCACATATAAATAAATAAAATAAAGTTATTGTGTCCAATTACAACTACAAAAAATAAATATTTTTTTAAAAAAGAATTGTAATGCATTCTGCTGTCATATATAAATTTAAAAATTTACATTAAAAAAAGAAAAGGAAATTCTACTTGAAAAAGTAGAGGAAAAGAAATAATAGAGCAGAACTTGATGAAACAAAATACAAAGAAGATTAACAAAGTCAAAAGTTGTTTCTTTGAAAAGACTAAACTCGTGGAAGAAATAATCGAGAAAAGGAGAGGGGCTGGGGATGTGGCTCAAGTAGTAGCATGCTCGCCTGGCATGCGTGGGGCGCTGGGTTCAATCCTCAGCACCACATAAAATAAAGATGTTGTGTCCACCAAAAACTGAAAAATAAATATTAAAAAAAAAGAGAAAAGGAGAGAAGTGTGAATAGCAAAGTCACGAATGAAAAAGACTTCTTTATATTATTTATTAAACAGGAAAAAAATTGTCAGAGGATATTATGAACAAGCTTTTGCAAATAATTTAAACATTTGAAAGATATATTTCAATAAAAATAAATAATAAAATAAAAAATAATGACTAAAAATTATCAAAACTGAGATACTAGGGGGGCTGGGGATGTGGCTCAGTGGGAGACCCTGGGTTCGATTCTCAGCACCACATAAAAATAAATAAATAAAATAAAGGTTTAAAAAAAAAAACTGAGATATTGGGGATGTGGACCAGTGGTAGAGTGCTTGCCTAGCATGCTCAAGGCCCCAGGTTCAATCCCCAGCACCACAAGCAAATAAACAACAACAAAAAAAAACTTGCTAAAACTGACACATAAAAACCAGAAAATATGAACAACTCATAATTTTAAAACTTCCTTTAAAAGAAAATTTCAGATGGCTTCACCAATAGACTCTAACTAAACATTTAAGGAAAAAATAATGTAGATCTTACACAAACTCTTCTAGAAAACAAAAAAAATAGGGAATACCTGTAACCTACTGTATAACATTTTGTTTTGTTTGCATAGATTTTTATCAAAGCCTTTYTTCATGAAGTTTTTATATTACAACAATCTGGGAAAGGAAGTCATCTGAAGGGAGACGTGACATCCAGCATGAGTTCAATATATACAAAAGTCAACAATAAATTGGACATGGTGGCACATGTCTGTAATCCCAGCAATTTGGGAGAATAAGGCAGGAGTATCGCCAAGTTTGAGACTAGCCTCAGCAACTTTGTTGGATGCTCAGCAACTTAGTGAGACCTTGTCTCAAAATAAAAAAATAAAAAGGACTGGGAATTGGAGATCAGTGTTAAAGTACCCCTGGGATCAATCGCCAGTAAAAAAACAAAAATATTGATTGCAACTAGTATTTAATGAGCACTTTCTATATGTTAAAACTATACTGAAGCCTTTGTACTGGATATAGGTATCATTATACCCTTATTACAGACAAATAAGTAAACTGAGACTCAGAGAAGCTAAGAAGCTAAGCAGCTTATTCGAGTTCACAGAATAATCAGTGAAAATGGAACTCATGAAGGTCCATCCAACTCCAGAATCCAAAATCATAAGTATTCCTCTATCCAGAGAAGAGCAGCAGCTTCATCTGCAAAAATCTACCCACAAGATGAGAACAAACTAATTCTCCATTCAGCCTTCCTACTTGACCAGCCAAAGCACCTAGTCAGAAAAACAGAACAGGTCTGTGTTTTGTTTTTTATTTAATTTTTTGCTTTTTAACTTACCCACTCACAGTCAATTCCAAGTACTGGAAATTCTTCTAACTCGCTCCTGAGCAAGGGCTCAATCTGATCCCACTCTGCCTCCTGAGACACTGTCACCACATCTGCATGGAGAATTCTCTCCTCCCAGGAGGCTCTGGGAACACCAGAGGGCAGCTGGTGCTCTTCTGAAGGGGGCTGCTCTCTCCTTGGTGTCACTTGCTCTTGCTGCTGCTGCTGCTGCTGCTGCTGCTGCTCCTTCTCCTGGGTCACACCACTTGTCTTACTCCTGCGTCGCTGGATGCCTTTCCATAGGACAAATCCCCCCACAGCCACTCCCAGAAGGGTGGTCACTGTCAAAGCCACTAAATTCTGTCTAGACATCTTCAACTTTTTACGGTTTAGGAAAGCATTTTACTAATCACACAACCTGCAAAACAAACATCAAAAATATATTTACATACAGAATATAAACCCTATGTATAAACAAGTTTTCCCCTAAAAACTTCCACCTACAATCCTTACACCCACAAACTAAAACAACTGCTATCAATTTCCACATCAAACAATAGAATTTTTTTCATTTTTGTACTTTTTTATTCCATCTCTATCTTCATCCTTCCCACTAAAAACTCCCTAGCCCTCTGACAGATACCCAGGGTTCCCTTAATGATATAAAATCTTATTAATCAAAACAGAAWAAGCTACACCTTCACCTTGGATTATTGATTTACTAGTAAATGAATTGATTAGTTAATGATTCTTTCTCAATGTGTTTGCAGCTTRGCGGGCCATGGTCACACAAGCTACTTGGAAGGCTAAGGCAAGGATCACAAGTTTGAGGCTAGCCTCCACAACTTAACAAGACCCTGCTCCAAAATAAAAATTAAAAGGGCTGAGGATGTACCTCAGTAGTAGAACATCCTGGGTTTAATCCCCAGTACCACACACACTGAAAAAAAAAAAAAAGTGTTTGAACTTTAAGCCTTTAATCTCCTACCAGCTGAATAAAAATTTTGCTTCTCAATTAAAAAAAAAAAAAAAAAACTTGGGGCTGGGGATGTGGCTCAAGCGGTAGCGTGCTCGCCTGGCATGCGTGCGGCCCGGGTGATCCTCAGCACCACAAACAAACAAAGATGTTGTGTCCGCCAAAAACTAAAAAATAAATATTAAAAAACTCTCTCTCTCTAAAAAAAAAAAAACAATCATCTATCAGTTGGTGGGGTGACTGTATTACTCTTCTGGCAGGTGTGGGCAGTACAGGCAGAGGAAATGGGCTTGAAAATACTTTTCTGTTGCTCCAGAAGTTTCTGTTGATCAGTAGTTCTCCAAAGAAATTGCCTCAGTTTCTATAAGGTAAGGCAGGGGCAGCACGAAAGGGGAAGAACAACAAGGGATGAAAAAAGAAAAAGGTGACACTTAGTTATTGTGATGATTTAGATATTAGGAGTTCCCCAAAAGCTCACGTGGAGACAGCGCAACAGTTTAGAAGTGAAATGATTAGACTGTGGGAGCCTTACCTAGATCAGTGCACTAATACCCCCAGGGATTAACTGGGTGGGGACTAGGCAGGTAGGGTGTGGCTGGAGGAGGTGAGTCTTTGGGGCATGCCTTCGGGTATGTATTTTGTCTTTGGTGAGAGAGAAGTTGTCTCTCCCAGCTTCTGGGTTGTCCTGTCTTGAGCTGCTTTCCTCCTCCCAGCCTTTCCACCATGATGTGCTGCTGCCTTACCTCAGGCCCAGAGCAACAGAGCTGGCTGGCTATGGACTGAGACCTCTGAAACTACTAGACCCAAATAAACCTTTCCTCCTCTAAAATTGTTCTTGTCAGGTCTCCTGGCGTAAAACCTGACTAAAACAAATATCCAAGATTCCCAGAAGGAAGTTTCAAACAAATGCCACAAGACCAGGAAGGTTAATGAAGATAAAAGAAGCATACCACAAAATAGTCCCTTTGCCTTTATCTTAGCACATGTGGCTTTTACCATGTATCTTTTCTTTTCCTCATTTTTGATAAACAAATGAGTACACAGTGTTATTTCTATACTATTAAAAACAACAAGTTGGGCATGGTGGCACATATGGGAGGCTGAGGCAGGAGGATCTAAATTCAAGGCCTGCCTCAGTAATTTAGCGAGGCCCTGAGCAACTCAGCAAGACTCTGCCTCAAAATAAAAAATACAAAAGGGCCGGGATGTGGCTCAGTGGTTAAAAGCCCCTGGGTTCAAGCCCTGGTATGAAAAAAAAAAATCAGTAAGAGTGTGATAATAACTGGTCAGTGACCCTTGGCCTCAGTGGCAGGAAGAACACAGGGCAATAACCACTCAGCACACGCTGATGGATTCCTCGTGGGAAGAAGGCCCAGTGTAGTCAGATACTGTGCTAATCAAGATCACTCAGGGATCTGAATTTYACAAGGAATGTTACCACTTTTAAATATTAGCAATAAACTTACAGCTTCTATAAATATTGTGTCAGTCTAGCATGTTGCTGAGCAATCATGCGTGGGCTCTGGCCCCAAACCTCAACTGAGCAAAGACAGAGCAAATCTACAGCGCCCTGCCTAACTGCCATACCTTTTCTATGACTCAGGGTTTCCCAATGTGTCCTGTTTTTATCACTTTTTTTAAAGTTTCACAAACATTACTAAAATAATTTTATATTTACAATAACGTAGATTATACCTATGTCTATAGAGATATTCAGCTACTGGAATGGAAAAATGGCATCACAAAAATTATGACAATAAGAATAAAAAATGGTAATATACTRGCTATGCTGTTTTTAAAAACATTTACTTTGGTTTAGAAACTGTGCTAAGTACTTCGAATATACTTTTTCTAGTGCTTTTATTGAATAGGAAACAGGCTTAATGAGATTAAATAACTTGTATAAAGAGACATCTGTTTAAAAGAATTTTGAGTAGATATAAAAAGACTTTCCTTTCCCACTCTAAATAACACAAATGCTGGGGAAAAACAACTGAAAAGATAAAAAATTAATATGCAATTGAGCTGAGAGAGAGAGAAAAAAAGAAATCATCAGATATCAGAAATGGAAGTGGAAACCAGGTAGAGACCAGAACTCAGACCAGCCCTAGCACTGGAGGCAGAAGTCGAGGTCACAGGCCTAGGACACATTGGGAGCCAGAAGAGTGCTGCTCTGTCCAAGAACAGGGACCTGAAAAAGTTTGTCCACTATGGGGTAGGCAAGCCACCTGCCCCACAGGCTTAGAGTATAAACAGAGCACCACAAGAGAAGAGCCTGGAGCCATGCTGTGCAGAGACAGGGCCCAAGTTTACACTCCCCTAACAAAAGGAAACTCAAAGCCAAGAAAATGAATTAAGACTGATTCACAATTGGTGAACTCTGCTGTTAACTAGACAAAGTCGATTACAGAAGTATGGTCTACCTTATATATGTTTCTAGCAAGATTTCCATGGAAGACCTATTCCAAGACCAGTCCCTGGAAAAGGGCTTACAAATGAATCAAAACCAACAAGCTGGGAGCAGAGGGGCATGCCTATAATCCCAATGGTTTGGGAAGCTGAAGCAGGAGGATCAAAGCCAGCCCTAGGAATTTACCCAGGCACCAGGCAATTCAGTGAAACCCTGACTCTAAATAAAATACAAAAGAGAGCTAGGGATGTGGCTTGGTGGTTGAGTGCTCCTGGGTTCAATCCSTGGTACCCCCAAACAACAACAAAAGCCTCTAAARCTAATAAAATGAGTTCATAGAGCCATCAAACAAAAGTTTCCATATCTGGGATCTGAAAGGGACTTTAGAGCAAGAATATTCACAGGTAATAAGGAAAATAATAGCTAAAACATGAATAAGAGAAAAAATTTAAAAGCAAAATTCTAGGTATGGAAATATTTTTTAAATTTTTAAATGTAATACTCAATGAACAAGTTACATACCAGATTAGACACACATAGAGAGTCATGAACTGAAGATAAGTCTTAGGATGTTACCCAGAATGCAGTGTGAAGAAATAAAGAGGGAGAACCACAATGGAGTAGAGGAATGGAGAATGGACAGAAATTCCAGTATCTAAGTAAGAAAGACTTAAAATATATGAGGGGGTCAGATTTAGAACAGTTTTCTGAGTCTCAAGATGGATAAATTAAATCTATCCACAAACAGACTTGTATCACAATGTTCACAGCATCTTCATTCATCATAGCCAAAAACTAGAAAAAGTCCAGGTGGTACATCTCTATATGGAAATACTACTCAACAACGAAAAGGTGTGAACTGACAAATGCGACATGGATGAATCTCAAATACCTTCAGGCTGTGTGAAAGGAACCAGATACACGATACATAAGCTCACATACTAGATAGATAGATAGATAGATAGATAGATAGATAGATAGATAGATAGATAGATAGATAGATAGATAGATAGATAGATAAGGCTCTGCTTACATAAAGTTCTAGAACAGCTAAACCTACCCTATGGGTTTAGCAGTAGATGCTCCTGGAGGAGAGAGGAGTACAGGGCAGAGACACTGCACCTGAGCTCTGAAGGACAAAAGGAAGCCCATCATYCAAAATCTCAGGAAGAACATTTCAGGCATGAGGGAACGTTCTGGAATGGTGGTAAAGTTCTATAGCTTGTAGGGGTTTGGAGTTATAGTTCTCAAGATTATTTTTGATTTTTTTCCTCTGCTGGACTGATTGTGGTCTTTCTCCCCAGAGTGCACACTCCATGACAGCAGAAACAACTGGCAATTTTTTAAAAAATATTTTTTCAGCAGTAGGTGGACACAATATCTTTATTTTATTTATTTTTATGTGGTGCTGAGGATCAAACCCAGTGCCTCACACGTGCAAGTGCTGGGAACAGAAGTGATAATACTCAATAAATCTTCATTAAGTAAATAAAACTCAATTTGAGGTAATATATTAATATGTTAATGATAAATGTCTAATTCAATCATTGGATTATAAGATTTTTTATTTTTTTTAATTTATTTATGACAGCAGAATACATTACAATTCTTATTACACATATAGAGCACAATTTTTCATATCTCTGGTTGTATACAAAGTATATCACACCAATTTGTGTCTTTGTACATGTTCTTTGGATAATAATCATCATCACATTCCACCATCATTTCTAACCCCATGCCCCCTCCCTTCCCCTCCAACCCCTCTGCCCTATCTAGAGTTCATCTATTCCTCCCATGCTCCCTCTCTCTATCCCACTATGAATCAGCCTCCTTATATCAAAGAAAACATTCAGCATTTGGGTTTTGGGGATCGGCTAATTTCACTTAACATTATCTTATCTAACTCTATCCATTTACCTGCAAATGCCACGGTTTTATTCTCTTTTATTGCTGAGTAATATTCCATTGTATATATATGCCACATTTTTTTATCCATTCATACATTGAAGGGCATCTAGGTTGGCTCCACAGTTCAGTAATTGTGAATTTTGCTGCTATAAACATTGATGTGGTTGTGTCCCTGGAGTATGCTGATTTTAAGTCCTTTGGGTATAGACCGCCAAGGAGAGGGATAGCTGTGTCAAATGGTGGTTCCATTCCCAGTTTTCCAAGAAATTTCCATACTGCTTTCCATATTGGCTGCACCAATTTGCAGCCCCACCAGCAGTGTATGTAAGATTGTTTATTCAAGAGAAAAAAGAGTTAATTTCCATTACTGAGCCTTATTGCTCTGAATAGGCATTATGATTCCATACTGGGCCGGGAGTGAGAAAACTGGAACCTTGCTGGGGGTTCCACGCCATTCAGTGCCTCCCCAGCTCCTGAAGCAATCTACAGTCCTTATTTTAAATATTTTTTGTTTTATAATTAATTATTTTATATAATTTTATATTGTTTATATTTTATATATAAGCAAACAAACTATTTAACAATAGTTACATAAGAGTTGTAGGATTATGAACAATTTTTTTTCAAATTCTATATGTATCTAGAATTTTATAGTGGTATATATTCATACTTAGAAAAACAAAGTTTTTTTGTTAAGTGTTCTTTAAACATAGGCAATGTAAATATACCCACTTAATATGTAACTATATTTCTGGGATAAATCACATTTTAATTAAGTGACTATGTCAAAATTATTCAKAAAGATGATAACAACATGGGTCCCAGAGTCAAAGAGCCTGGGTTCAAATCCAACCTCTGCCATTTGCTAACTATATGAACTTGTGCAATTTACTGAATTTTTTCTATATCTTAGTTTCCTCATTTGTGAAGTAGGAAAGATAGCATCTACTATGTAGGATTATTGTGAGGCTTAAGATTATCACTATAATTTACTAAGCATATTGGCTAGTTCATTAGAGTTCAATAAATGTTAGCTACTAATATGACTGCAGTTCTAGAAACCACAGAACTCCTACTAAAGGAAAAGAAAGAATCTTTGACTAAAACTTAGGAGTCAAGTACAGTTTCAATCCAATTAAAAATTTCTTTCCATAGTTATCTTGAAGGGCAAGACCATGACCTATCTCTGCTGAATACTTTCAATAAGAGTTCACCATCTGAAGAGGCAGTTTTCGTTAAAAAGTCACTGCAATCCTCAGCACCACGTATAAGTAAATAAAATAAAGGTATGAAAAAGAAAGGTTAAAAAAAAAAAAGTCATTGCATCTGTAAAAGCCACCTACACAGAAATTACTCTTCGATACTCAGCTGGTCTCTGAAATGACAAGAGTTTGCTCCCTCCTAAGAGCCTATCAAAGAGTGAAGACAGTTCTTAAGGCTGCCTTTAAGTTCTTCCTAACTTATAAACTTGAAGGCAAGGGCCTCTGGGTTTGTCAACATACCTCCTCCAATGTGGCACCCGAGTCTGTACTCAACACTTGAGAAATGGTCTAAATGAGGCAGATAACAATGATACTACTACTTCCCATTATCTGGGCCCTATATTTTATTAATAAGATATGAAATAACACATTTTTTAGTAACAGCAACATATTGTTAGGTCACCTATAAAGTTTATGGGAAACTAAAATTGAGTGATACAGAATCAATCCACATTTTATGTATTTCTAGTTTCTACTTTGCACTTAAATTCAATACTTTGTTTCTTCTTTACAAATGTTGTTTCAGCCAAACATTTCATCTGCTGACACCAGTTTGCAGCTTCACTATGCCTTCCCTCTCAAAAGATGATCTTATACACAAATGTGAAACTTTGTTTTCAAAGAAAATACCATCTTCTAACATGTTTTAATGCTGTTCATTTCTATATAGAGAGGTTTTGTTAGTTTTTGTTTTGTCTTTTCTAGCCAAATGACTCATTCAGTAAACATGTATACAGCACCTTAATAAGGCAAACTTGGTACTAGAGAGGATAAAGAGGGTTAAAAGGCACAGTCTGTCTTCAAAATATTTAGGATTTCACAAAAGAGAAATACATGTACTGAACAAGTTGCAGTTGGTGAGATAACACTAACAACTGAAGCATATAAAGCACAGGCAAGAACAACAAAGAAGGGCAGTAGTTTTTAAGGGACACTTACTAGAGAGATGATACCTGAGATTAGTGTTAAAAAGTGGGCAAGAGGGGCTGGGATTGTAGCTCAATGGGGGAGCACTTGCCTCACACTTGTGAGGCACTAGGTTCAATCCTCAGTACCATATAAAAACAAAATAAAGATATTGTGTCCATCTACAACTAAAAATATATTTTTTAAATGGGTAAGAGTCCTCCAGGTGCACAAATAAGAGATGTCCCTCCAGGCAGGGAACAAAATGTGCAAGAAAAATCAAAGCCAGAAGCATCATGGTTATAGGTAAAAGTGTAGAAAATTTAAGTTGTAGACTAAGCATAAAATACTCATTAAATTTTAAATACTACAAAAAATGTAAAAATATCCTATTGATAATTTCTATGTTGATTTTTTTATCCCAAGCATTGGGAATTGAATCTCAGGAGTTCCTTACCAGTGAGCGTCACTCCCAGCCCTTATTTTTTATTTTAAGACAGGGTCTCACTTAGTTGCCAAGGCCAGCCTTGAAGTTGTGATCCTCAGTCTCAGTCTCCCCAAGACACTGGGATTTCAGGCATGCACCACGATGGCCAGTATACGGGATCTTACATAACCCTACAGGATGAAGCTTTTTAGGTAATGGAAAGCCAATAAAAATAAAAGACTTACGAAGACAGTGGCTGGATCAAGCTAATATGTCAACACATGGTGGCAGTGTGGGTGCTAGATTGAAGAGAGGCAAAAACCAGAGCATGGAGAACAATGAAAAGACAATCCTAGAGCCAAGAGAAGAAGACCATATGAATCAGGGCAGAAGAAATCAGAATGAATAAGAACAACAGCTCCTAAACAAAGTGGTTACATCAGCATTCAGAATTATCTGGAAAAATAATAAGTCATCAACCAACTTTTAAAACTTCAAAAATAATTTAGAAATTTTGATGGATATGAAAGCAAAAGTTTACTGAACCCAGTATAAAAACGTGAAAAAAAATTTCATTCATAACAGCAAATATAAATATAAAGCAATAACCACACACACATATATACAATGCTGGATTGAACTCAACATGTACAGGCACTTTACATGTACATATACTCAGGCATATACTACAATGGCCTAAAGACATTGGCCCAATGGTCTAAGGACTCCCATTAGGCCCTGTCTCCAAAAGGGTCAACCATTTTCCAAAAGTACCACCCTAGAACTAAGCTTTTAACACGTGGATCTTTGGAAAACATGAAACATCCAAGCCATATTGTTATATAGGTATACTCAAAATAACATATAAGCTAGGTGCAAACTTAATTTTTGAAACCTTTTTTTTAAAAATTGAGGGCTGGGGTTGTAGCTCAGTGGTAGAACGCCTTCCTCATGTGACGCCCTGGGTTCGATCCTTAGCACCACATAAATATAAATAAATAAAATAAAGAATGGCAGCCATCAGAAATACAAATAATAATAAATGCTTTAGAGTATGTGGAGAAAAGAAACACTTATACTGTTGGTGCGATCGATCGTAAACTGCTACAACCACTATGGAAATCAGTACAAAGGTTCCTCAAAAGACTAGGAACAGAACCACCACATGACTCATACCACTCTTCATTTTTTATCCTAAAGAATTAAAGATAGTAGCTGGGCACAGTGGTGTACGCCTATAATTCCAGTGGCTTGGGAGGCTGAGGTAGGAGGATCATGAGTTCAAAGGCAGCCTAAGGGACTGGGGTGTGGCTCAGTGGTAGAGTGCTCACCTAGCATGCACAAGGCACTGGGTTCGATCCTTAGCACCACATAAATGTAAAATAAAGATATCGTGTCCACCTAAAACTTAAGAATAAATATTTTTTAAAAAAGCCAGCCCCAGCAAAAGTGAGGTGCTAAGCAACTCAGTGAGACCTTGCCCCTAAATAAAATACAAAATAGGGCTGGGGCCTGGTGGCTCAGTGGTTAAGTGTTCCCGAGCTCATCCCTGGTACCCGCCCCCCCMAAAAAATTAAAGACTATATACTATAGAATTATATGCATACCCATGTTTGACAATAGTCAAATTTTGGAATCAGTCTACGTGATCATGGGATATATATATTCAAGGGAGTTTGTTTTGTTTGTTTTGGTATTGAGGATTGAACCCAGGGATGTTTTACCMCTAAGCTACATCCCCAGTCCTCTTTATTTTGAGACAGGATCTTGCTAAGTTGCCAAGGGTCTTGCTAAGTTGCCACGTTTGGCCTCGAATTTGCAATCCTCTTGCCTCAGCTCTTAACTAACCACCATACCCAACTACCCAATGGAGTTTTATTCAGCCATAAAGAGAAATGAGCTGGTTACAGTGGCCCACACCTGTAATCCCAGGAGCCTGGGGGGCTGAGGCAAGAGAATTGAGAGTTCAAAGCCAGCTTCAGAAACTTAGCAAGGTGCTAAGCAACTCAGTGAGACCCTGTCTCTAAATAAAATACAAAAAAAGGGCTGGGGATATGGCTCAGTGGTTGAGTGCCCCTCCCAGACAAAAAAGAATGAAATTATGTCATTTGCAGGAGAAACAGATAGAACTTGAGAGCATCATGTTAAGCAAAATAAGCCAAACTCAGAAAGTCTGRGGTCTTATGTTTTCTCTCATATGTGGAAGATAGAGTAAAAGATGGGGAAAAAAGGAAGTAGGGAATCTCATGAAAATGAGAAGGAAGACCTGTACAGSGAGGAAAAGAAAAGGGGAAATACTGGGGATATTAACCAAATGCTATTGTTATACTGTATGCACATATGAAAATGTAACAACAAATCCCATTATTATGTATAATTATAATGCATCAATAAAAATATGAGGGGAAAAGTTACCATATGACCCAGCAATTTCACTCCCAGATATATATATCCAAGGGAAATTAAAACATGCCACACTATAAAGTTCATAACAACATTATTTACAATAGCCCAAAAGTGGAAACACAAATGTCCATTAGCTGATGAAAGGATACATAAAATGCAGCGCATTTACATGCTATGGCTTGACTGTGTCATCCAAAAAGACACCTGTGAATGTGACCTTATTTGGAATCAGGGTCTTTCTAGATGTAATTAAATTAGAATGAGGTCATACTAGAGTAGAGTGGATTCTTAATCCAACATGACTGCTGTCCTATAGGAAGAGAAGAGACCCGGGGTCAAATGTGAAGACAGACATGCAGGAAAGAAGATTTGTGATGACAGAGGCAGAGACTGGAGTTACGCAACCACAAACCAAGGAARGCCAAGGACTGCCAACAACCACAGGAGCTAGGAAGAGGCAAGGAAGGATGCTACCCCAGAGCCTGGGAGTGGTGCAGTCCCACGGACACCTTCATAATAACTTTCTAGCTTCCCGAACCGTGAAAGAATACATTTACACTGTCAGTCACTCAGTTTGTGTTGCTTTGTTACTACAGCCCTAGGAGACAAATACAYCATCGGATGGAATTTTATTCAGCAATAAGACAGACTGAATCTTGAAAACATTAAATGGAAGAAGCTAGTCGCAAAAGACCACATCATCTTTTTTTTACACACCTTGTCTTATTCCCTTTATATAAATATCCAGATCTATACAGACAGAACAATGAGAAGTTGGCTAGAGCTAGGGCATCGGGGGAGCTGGGAATGGGGAGTGACTACAAATGGGTATAGGCTTCTTTGGGGGTAATAAAAATGTTCTACATTTAGATTGTACTGATGGTGTCACAACTCTGTGAATATACTAAAATTCAAAGAATTATACAGTTTGAGAATGAATTATATAACATATGAATTGYCTCTGAATAAAACCAAAAAAAAAYATTTTGACAAGTTGATTCTAAAATTAATCTGTAAAGAAAACCAATAGCTGAAAACCTGTTTTTTAAAATATTGGAGTATGCCAGTAACTCAGTTAAGGCAGGAAAATCACAAGCTCAAGGTCAGTCCCTGTACTTAATGAAACCTTCAGCAACTTAGCAAGACTCTTGTCTCAAAAAAAAAA